AGTTTTCCTCAAACAAAAATCCAAAATACCAATGATTGTTGCGTTTTTAATTCCTGCGGCTTAATGTGGCCGGAAAACATTTGATGCGTTTTCAGAGTTAAACCCCCGTTTTCAAATTCCACCGGCGTATTGTGGACTGGACCTTAATCTCATACATTTCTACGTTGGAAAAGGTGACACACAAATGCTCTTATAAGAAAAGCTAAACACTGTCCGCGGTGGCAGTTTCTGTTTAACCCTAACCTTACACCTTCATTGTTTATTTATTAATTCTTTCTTCACATAAGCAAACTAAAGTTAAAGTAGACAACTAAGTATGTTTATTATTTTGGAAAGACGCTATTGCATCTCAAGGGTCAAAACATGAGTTAGGAACATCTCTAGGAATAATGGCGGGACTAATTTTGAGAGACGAGATGCAATGCAGTTCTTCCTTTGTGAAAAATACACACAGACACACAGCAACAAAAATAAATAAATAAATAAATAGAGAAATAATAATAATAATGATAATAATAATAACAATAATAATAGTAATAAAACCTTGAGCAAATATAAAGTCTCAACATGAAAGTAAAATTCATAAAGTGAAATTTTGGTCAAAAATCTCAATGTGCTAAAACCGCCATCCGATGATTTTCTTTGCAATCTAATACAATTACGCCACCAAATCCGTTGTCATTCAAATCTAATTAAAGAGCACGCTCTTCTTTAATTGAAGGTTTCTATTTATGGCATATACTGCGAGAAACTAAACAAGATATAATAAAACTACAGAATATACACGAAGATTGCTTTGGTTATGGCATGATGTCTGAAACTAAGATAGTAGAGTCATTAAATGGCCTCATTTCGCCAAAATAATAAATTGCAGGTCTAATTTAGATGTCGTATTTTACTCTCACGTGGAATTTAATTAATAGAGAGAGTTAAAGCATGACGTTTACCGTAGACGGCAAACGGCAAAGATTATCTCTGAATTTGTGTTCTTTTCTTCTAATCCTTAACTACGTCACACCAAAATTAGCAAATTTTTTCTACTATTCACCGCAAATACAAATATTTTCACTCTACTGTATAGACAGCTGAAGACAGACGGCAAAAATGAAAATTTTTGCCGTTTGACGTAACGTCATGCTTTATCTCTCTAATGTCCGAGAAAACGTGCTTTGCGGAAAAGGTTTTAAATTAGCTAATACATACACAAATAAAAAAGCAGAACATATCGTTTCCACGGTATTACAACTTTATCATATCCATGTACTACCGGAGAGATTTCTGCCGCCTTAAACATGCATGTATAACGCGACTCATTAAAATGACCAATAAAATAAGTGTAAATCAACTTTCTAGGGATAATGAATTACACGAACGACATAAAACGGATGTCTAAATTCACAATGTTCTGCTCACTGCTATCAATTTTCGTACTATTCTTAGAATACCAACGAGCACGCAAGACACCATAACAACCATTTGGCCAAACTGGGTCAGCCATGGGTCGCGAGGAAAACAGTACAAAAACTAAAAACAAAGAAAAACAAGGGTGGTTTTTACTGTTTTTGAAAATAAAATCTCAAGTAACAGAAAAAGAAACGAATGGACACCTTAACGAGAAAAACGTGAGGTCAAAACGTTTACTATTGTATTGTAATTGAATTGTGCAATCCCAAATATAAAGGAAGGTCACTGTTTAGCGAGTACAAATAATTCTTTAATATATTACCCGTAGCAGTTTCCACTTGAGCGTCGAAAAGTAATTGACTTTGGATTTCTGCGTTACATGATTGGCTTAAAAAACTCGCGTCACTTTTTCATCCAATTAGAAATTAAACCAAAACCAGACTCGCTCACTCACGTTTTCCCGCTCTCTGCGTCAGCTACATGGACTTACTGCGATTAGAATGGTTATTGGGATTGTTTATCCTCACTTTGGTCGTTGTTTTACGACACTCAATTGAAAAACCGCTTTAGCATGGTGTTTTACTCCCGATGAAGAGGAAAGAAGAATAATTCTGGGTACACGTGCATACACTTTTGGCAAGACTGACTTTGAATAAGATGTTAAGCTGATATTATATATGAAGTAAAAGAAGATGTCAGTTTAAACTACAGTAATATGGAACAAATACCAGCGTCAGAAAATGTCAGTCAAGATCTTGTAGCAGCCGTTGTTTGTAGTTCTTCAATGCTTTCGTTTCTATGCAGCACAAATCTTTTGATAGCGGCTCTGAACTGCTTGTTTATCCCACTGTAAATAAGTGGATTACAGAACGAGTTGAAATGTCGGAGGAACAGTATGACGTAGTTCACAACCCGCATGGTGTCCCCTCGGCAAGAGGGACAGTATGTGTAAACAAGAAAGAAAACAAACAACGGGCACCAACAAACAAAGTGAGTTCCCATTATGATGGTTAAAATCTTCGCTCCTTTGAGTTCGCGCTTCATCCTGCGTTTTGACTCGCCTGATCTCTCAGAATACCCTTGCATGGACAATGAGTCTATTCTGCGAGCGTGAGCGCGAGCAACGAGGAATATGTTCCAGTAAGAAATAGCCATAACGCCGACCGGGGTAACAAAACTTGCTACTGTGATGAACGTAACGTACTCGCGTCCAAAGAATAAGCACGACTCGTTATCGGAGTCTTTCAGCAGGGACAAGAAG